CTCTCCCACCCCTCTCTCCATCCTCCTCCCTCCCCTCTCACCCTCTCTCCCCTCCTCCTCTCTCTCTCACCCCCTCTCATCCTCCCTCTCACCCTCTCTCATCCTCCTCCCTCTCTTCCTCCTCCCTCCCTCTCTCATCCTCCTCCTCCCTCCCCTCCCCTCTTCATCCTCCCCCTCCCTCTCTCATCTCCTCCCTCCCCTCTCTCACCCTCTCTCCATCCTCCTCCCTCCCCTCTCCATCCTTCCCCTTTCTCCCATCCTCCTCCCTCCCCTCTCATCCTCCCCCTTCCTCTCTCATCCTCCTCCCCCCCTCTCCCTCCATCCTCCTCTCCCCTCTCTCCTCCTCCCCTCCCCTCTCATCCTCCTCCCTCCCTCTCTCCCCTCTCTCATCCTCTCCCCCTTCTCTCATCCTCTCCTTCCCCTCTCCTCCTCCTCCCCCCCTCTCCATCCTCCTCTCACCCCCTCTCTCATCCTCCTCCCCTCCCTCTCCTCTCTCATCCTCCTCCCCCTCTCTCTCCATCCTCCCCCCTCTCTCATCCTCCTCCGTCCCTCTCTCACCCTCTCTCATCCTCCTCCCTCCCCTCTCTCATCCTCTCTCATCCCCTCCTCTCACCTCTCTCATCCTCCTCCCCCCCTCTCCTCATCTCCTCCTCCCTCCCCTCTCTCATCCTCCCTCCTCCCTCTCTCACCCCTCTCTCATCCTCCTCCTCCCTCTCTCCATCCTTCCCTTTCCTCTCTCATCCTCCTCCCTCCCTCTCCTCCTCCCCCTTCCTCTCTATCCCTCTCCCCCCCTCTCCTCATCCCTCCCTCCCTCTTCCTCTCTCATCCCCTCTCCTCCCCTCCATCCTCCTCCTCCCCTCCCTCTCATCCTCCCCTTCTCTCTCATCCTCCTCCCCCCTCTCTCATCCTCCTCCCCTCCCCTCCTCATCCTCCCCCTCCCCTCTCTCATCCTCCTTCCTCTCTATCCTCCTCCCCTCTCTCTCCTCCTCCTCCCTCTCCTCCTCCCCCTTCCTCTCATCCTCCTCCCTCCCTCTCCTCCCCCTCTATCCTCCTCCCCTCCCTCCTCATCCTCCCCTTCTCTCTCATCCTCCTCCCCTCTCTCCATCCTCCTCCTCCCTCTCTCATCCTCCCCCTTCCTCTCTCATCCTCCCCTTCCTCTCTCATCCTCCCCCCCTCTCTCCTCCTCCTCCCCCTCATCCCTCCTCCTTCCCCTCTCTCATCCTCCTCCCCCCTCTCTCCCCCTCTCTCATCCTCCCTCCTCCCTCTCTCACCTCTCTCATCCTCCTCCCTCCCTCTCATCCTCCCCTTCTCTCTCCTTCTCCCCCTTCCCTCTCTCATCCCCTCCTCCCTTCCCCTCTCTCATCCTCCCTCCCCCTCTCTCATCCTCCTCCGTCCCTTTCTCACCCTCTCTCATCCTCTCCTCCTCCCTCTCTCCTCCTCTCTCTCATCCTCCTCCCCTCCCTCTCTCATCCTTCCCCTCCCTCTCTTATCCTCCTCCTTCCCCTCTCTCATCCTCCTCCCTCCCCTCTCTCATCCTCTCTCCTCCTCCTCCCTCCCTCTCTCCCCTTCCCCTCCCCTCTCTTATCCTCCTCCCCTCTCTCAGCCTCTCCCCTCTCTCATCCTCTCCTTCCCTCTCTCAGCCTCCTCTCTCTCCCTCTCTCATCCTCCTCCTCCCTCTCTCATCCTCCTCCCTCCCTCTCTCACCTCTCTCCATCCTTCCCCTTCTCTTCCTCCTCGTCCCCTCTCTCACCCTCTCTCATCCCCTCCTCCCTCTCTCTCATCCTTCCCCCTCTCTTATCCTCCTCCCTTCCCTCTCAGCCTCTCCCTCCCTCTCTCCCACCCTCTCATCCTCCTCCCTCTCTCTCTCACCCTTCTCATCCTCCTCTCACCCTCTCTCTTATCCTCCTCCCTCCCTCTCTCATCCTCCTCCATCCCTCTCTCACCTTCTCTCATCCTCCTCCCTCTCTCTCACCCCTCTCTCATCCTCTCCCTTCCTCTCTCATCTCTCCCTCCTCCTCCCTCTCTCACCCCCTTTTCATCCTCCTCCCACCTCTCTCATCCTCCTCCCCTCCCCTCTCTTATCCTCCTCCCTCCCTCTCTCATCCTCCTCCGTCCCCTCTCTCACCCTCTCTCATCCTCTCCTCCCTCTCCCCTCTCTCATCCTCCCCCCTTCCTCTCATCCTCTCTCATCCCCTCCCTCCTCTCTCTCTCCCCCTTTCTCCCTCCTCTCCACCCTCTCTCAGCCTCCTCCCTCCCCTCTCTCCCCCTCTCATCCTCCTCCGTCTCTCTCTCACCCTTCTCCATCCTCCTCTCACCCCTCTCTCACTCCCCTCCCTCCCTCTCTTATCCTCCTCCCCTCCCTCTCTCATCCCTCCTCCGTCCCTCTCCCTCCCCTCTCTTATCCTCCCACCCTCCCTCTCTCATCCTCCTCGTCTCCCTCTCTCCCCTCTCTCATCCTCCTCCCTCCCTCTCTCATCCTCCTCCCACCCTTTCATCCTCCTCCCCCCTCTCTCATCCTCCTCCTCCCCTCTTTCATCCTCCTCCATCTCTCCCCTCCCTCTCTCATCCTCCTCCTTCCATCTCTCATCCTCCTCCGTCCCCTCTCTCACCCTCTCTTATCCTCCTCTCACCCTCTCATCCTCCTCTCCACCCCTCTCTCATCCTCCTTGTCCCCTCTCACCCCTCTCTCATCCTCCCTCATCCCCTCTCTCACCCCTCTCTATCTCCCTCCTCCCTCTCTCCCCCTCTCATCCTCCTCTCACCCTCTCCATCCTCCTCTCACCCCTCTCTCATCCCTCCTCATCCCCTCTCTCACCCCTCTCTTATCCTCCTCCTCCCCTCTCATCCTCTCTCCATCCTCCTCTCCCCCTCCCCTCCTCCTCTCCCCTCCCTCCCTCATCCTCCTCCCTCCCTCTCTCTCCTCTCTTATCCTCCTCCCCTCACCCTCTCATCCTCCCTCTCTCCACCCTCTCTCCTCCTCCTCCGTCCCTCTCTCCCCTCTCTTATCCTCCTCCCTCCCCTCTCTCACCCTCCTCATCCTCCTGTCACCCCTCTCATCCCTCCTCTCACCCTCTCTCCCTCCTCCTCCGTCCCCTCTCACCCTCTCTATCCTCCTCCCCTCCTCTCTCATCCTCTCTCCTCCTGTCACCCCCTCTCCCCTCCTCCTCCCCTCCTCTCCTCCTCTCTTATCCTCCTCTCACCCTCTCATCCTCCTCACCCCTCTCTATCCTCCTCCCGTCCCTCTCTCACCCTCTCTTATCCTCCTCCCTCCCCCTCTCACCCATTCTCTTCTCCTCTCACCCTCTCATCTCCTCACCCTCTCTCATCCTCCTCCATCCCCTCTCTCCCCTCTCTCATCCTCCTCCCTCCCTCCTCACCCCCTTCTTCCTCCTCTGCCTCGTAGATAAAATATGAGGTCGTGGGTAGAGTAAGGTCGTGGGTAAGAAGGTGAGGTCGTGGTAAAGGTGAGGTCGTGGGTAGGGCAGAGGTTCTGGAAGAAGGTAGAGGTCGTGGGTAGAGGTAGAGGTCGTGAGTAAGTGAGGTCGTGGTGAAGGTAGAGGTCGTGGGTAAGAGGTAGGGTCGTGGAGTAAGAGGTAGAGGTCGTGAGTAGAGATAGAGGTTGTGGAGTGAGATAGAGGTTAGTGGTGAGGTAGAGGTCGTGGGTAGAGGTGAGGTCGTGGAGGAGGTAGAGGTCGTGGGTAAGAGGCAGAGGTCGTGGGTAGAGGTAGAGGTCAAGGGTAAGAGGTAGAGGTCGTGGGTAAGAGGTAGAGGTTTGAAGAGGTAGGTCAAGGGTAAGAGGTGGGGAGGTTGGGTAAGAGGCAGAGGTTCTGGGTAAGAGGTAGGGGTCGTGGGTAGAGGTCGGGTGGGAGGTAGAGGTCGGGCAGGTAGAGGTCGTGGGTAGAGGTAGAGGTCAGGAAGAGGTAGAGGTCGTGGGTAGAGGTAGAGGTCAAGGGTAAGAGGTAGAGGTCATGGGTAAGAGGTAGAGACATAAGTAAGGAAGGTAATTTCCTGTACCTTTTCTCTTATTGAGGCCACAACCCTGAACCATGACACCTCCAGAGGCCACGCCCCCCAACGCTTAATCACAGAGGCAACAGACATGGTGCAACTCATTTTAATATTAACACATTGAGGAGGGAGGGAGGAGGGTGTCGCGAGGAGGAGGAGGAGGGAGGGAGGGAGGTGTCGCCTGGGGGAAGAGGAAGGAGGGAGGTGTCGCAAGGAGGAGGAGGAGGAGGGAGGGAGGGATGTGTCGGCTGGGGGAGGAGGAGGAGGTGGTGGAAGGAATGGGGTCGTCTTACAGTAACAAGAAGACCTCCTCCTCCTTCCTAAATTTCTGCATTTACGGGTAAACACCCCTCCCCACCTCTAATCTTATCTCACCCCTTCTTTCTCTACCCAAAAAGACCAAGGCAGAGACACGAACCTCCTCCTCCTCCTCTGCTTCCCCACAAACGTTTCCTTGTTATCATAAGTTGAGGAGAGACGAGGACTAGACTCTCATTACAAACAACTCCACCTGCCATGCTACTATTTTTATTAAGCACACACACACCTCTATAGTGTGTGTGTGTGTGTGTGTGTGTGTGTGTGTGTGTGTGTAAAACTAGGACATTTTGTTCTGTTATTTCCTTGAGTGGTGCTGCCATCTACAGTATTTGGATCAACAGACGACATGACCGGTATCCAAACTAATCTCACGTGCAGCTCTGGGTTAGGTTAGGTTGGACTATCATTTATTATAAGGGTAGAATAATAAAAGCATCTCTTATAGTAACTAAAATTTTACTACTGTATTCCTCATTGTTTATTTAAGTCATACTGCTACTTTGTATTTGGGGATTTATCTCGTGATTATCTTAACTTCATATCCGTTTCTTTTCATATTCTAGTTCCCCTGTCCAACACACAAACACACACACACGTTCATCGCCTCCACCGTTGCAGTTATACAAGGATTTGCTGTAATAAAGAAACATAGACACTTGGTGAGGACGTACCTGCCATCCCTGCAGCAGGAGTGAACGATCGACGGTCCTGAGCCACATGACTGCGTCCCCAGCCTGGAAATCCCTCAAGCGGGAGCAGGTGCGATGCAGGTAGAGTCCCAGGCACTTGAGCAGTTCTGAGGTAGAGGCCTGGATTACCGTCTTCTTAGTAGGACTGACCCCCGCTGGGTAGTGGCGGTGGAGGGGCACCCGCCGCTGCTGCTGCTACTGGTGGTGGAGAGCGAGGGCGCTAGTACAGGCCCCAGTTGGTGGTGATGCTGGTGGTGGGGCTTGTGGTGTTGGTGCTGGGGCAGGGGTCTGGCGGGCACCAGGGCGTTGCGGAGGTCATGGGTATGCGTGGAGGGGGCCGAAGTGAGGGTAGCCTTCGGGGGCAGCTTCTCTGTGGGCGTGTGGGCGTTGTTGTTGTTGACCCTCACTAGGTCGAGGTGACCCATGGAGCTGGGCCGGATATTGTAGCAGGACAGCGCCTTCTGGATGTTTTTGTTGTTGTCAATGAACGGGTGGATGTTGTCCAGGGGTTGACGCAACGTCAAGTTTTTGTTTTTGTTGTCGAGTTTCTTCTTATTGGTGTTCGAGAAACGCTTCCAGCTGAGGGCGTTGATAAATAAAGAGTGTTTCTTAAAATTTCTCTCCAAGGCATTCTTCTCGCTGAGGATATTGGCGTTCTCATTGTTAACAACTTTCTTTATTGCGCACATTGTTGAGCGTCTCGTAGTTGTGGTTGTTGAGGGTGTAGTCACCGTAGTAGGGTTTCTGTTCCCTGGGGCTGAAGCTGAGCACCGTCCCCATGGTGAACACTTTAGACAGGGACGAGATGATTCCTGGAGTCTCCACCTTGCCGACTTTACACCACCGTCACCACAAACACACGTATTCGCTTCTCCCCTTACCCTACAAGCTCCCGTCCATGGCCAGTCTGTTCTTCACCAGCTCAAGATGGCCGCCACAGTCAACACTGGAATTCTCTGGCTAATGATTCCCTCCGTCACTCTCCCACGATCTGTTCCATGATAGTTCTTAAAGGCCTTTGGTATTGTCTAGTACTTCTTCAGAGAGTACAGTTAGGGAGGTAGTCCAGTGTGATGGTGTGTTTACACTAGCACAAGTCAAGTCTCCCGCAGCACATTCCACCACTACAGGCTGTCACGGGCTCTTCCAGGCTACCACCGCCAGGACAACTTCCATATGCAGCCTTCAAGACTGGGAATCGCCCGCCCAATCATATTCTAGAACTCGTTCCTCCGACAGATCATCGCACGCTCCCATTGGCTGTTGGCTGTAAACGTCAGAGGAGTGGGGGTATGGGGGACTTGCTGGGGTTGCCATGGCTACGACTTCACATAGCACGGAATCGATTCCTATGGAATTGCAGCCATTCGCTAGTAAGGGAAATTTCTGCGGCAATTTCTTGAGTGTTTATGTACTGTTGTCCGTGTACACCAGACTCTCTTCTTGATCAGGGAACATGAATAACGGAACACTTCACAACTTAATGTGGTGATAAAATGTGGCTGTGTATGAGAAATGGTAACTGAGGTTACAGCTCCCCCTTCTCCCCAACCCTCCAAAGGACTGCTCAGGGTTGCCACTAAAAAATTACTTTTATTCGTTCAGTTAATGAATAGCTCGGTTATTGTTATTCTTTCATTCAAGGGGAAAAATACATTAGGACAATGTTGAAATACACATGAAATATAAACGTGGGAATGAGCTTCTTTGTTCGCCCAAATGTCAATTAAAAATTGTGCAGTAATTGTTAGAGTCCCCATTGAGTATATAGATCGATAGAGTTATCTTCCATAGAAAACGGGTGAGATACCCACTGTCGTCAACAACCAACTTTCATGATAAAATTACTTCCCTTTAATTATCTTCCTAGATAAGTTTACCTTAACCTAAACCAAATAGTTTATATAAGGTAAATAAAACAAATAAAAACAATATCATAACTAAAATATAAACAATAAGTGAATTTCTAAATATTCATTCATTCATAACAAGACTGTAAGCAAAGTGAGTAAGACTGAGGTACAGTATTGTAGTAGATAGTGACCACCCTTCACCCCCCTGACCACCACCACACCATGAGTGACCAGCTCACCCCTGACCACCACCACACCATGAGTGACCAGCCTTCACCCCCCACCCACCACACCATGGGTGACCAGCTCACCCCTGACCACCACCACACCATGAGTGACCAACCTTCACCCCTGACCACCACCACACCATGAGTGACCAGCCTTCACCCCCACCACCACCACACCATGAGTGACCAGCCTTCACCCCTGACCACCACCACACCATGAGTGAGACCACCCTTCACCCCCTGACCACCACCACACCATGAGTGACCACCTTCACCCCCTGACCACCACCACACCATGAGTGACCAACCTTCACCCCCTGACCACCACCACACCATGAGTGACCAGCCTTCACCCCCTGACCACCACCACACCATGAGTGACCAGCCTTCACCCCCTGACCACCACACCAATGAGTGACCAGCCTTCACCCTGACCACCACCACACCATGAGTGACCAGCCTTCACCACCACACCATGAGGACCAACCTCACCCCTGACCACCACCACACCATGAGTGACCAACCTTCACCACCACACCATGAGTGACCAGCCTTCACCCCTGACCACCACCACACCCATGAGTGACCAGCCTTCACCACCACACCATGAGTGACCAACCTTCACCCCTGACCACCACCACCACACCATGAGTGACCAACCTTCACCCCCTGACCACCACCACACCATGGAGTGACCAACCTTCACCACCACACCATGAGTGACCAGCCTTCACCACCACACCATGAGGACCAACCTTCACCCCTGACCATCACCTCACACCATGGAGTGACCAACCTTCACCACCACACCATGAGTGACCAGCCTTCACCCCTGACCACCACCACCACACCATGAGTGACCAGCCTTCACCACCACACCATGAGTGACCAGCCTCACCCCCTGACCACCACCACACCATGAGTGACCAACCTTCACCCCTGACCACCACCACACCATGAGTGACCAGCCTTCACCACCACACCATGAGGACCAACCTTCACCCCTGACCACCACCACACCATGAGTGACCAACCCTTCACCCCTGACCACCACCACACCATGAGTGACCAACCTTCACCACCACACCATGAGTGACCAGCCTTTCACCACCACACCATGAGTGACCAGCCTTCACCCCTGACCACCACCACACCATGAGTGACCAGCCTTCACCCCCTGACCACCACCACACCATGAGTGACCAGCCTTCACCACCACACCATGAGTGACCAACCTTCACCCCCCTGACCACCACCACACCATGAGTGACCAACCTTCACCACCACACCATGAGGACCAGCCTTCACCCCTGACCACCACCACACCATGAGGACCATCCTTCACCACCACACCATGAGTGACCAACCTTCACCCCCTGACCACCACCACACCAAGGAGGACCAACCTTCACCACCACACCATGAGTGACCAGCCTTCACCCCCTGACCACCACCACACCATGAGTGACCAGCCTTCACCACCACACACCATGAGTGACCAGCCTTCACCCCTGACCACCACCACACCATGAGTGACCAGCCTTCACCCCTGACCACCACCACCACACCATGAGTGACCAACTCACCCCCTGACCACCACCACACCATGAGGACCAACCTTCACCCCTGACCAACACCACACCATGAGTGACCAACCTTCACCCCCTGACCACCACACCACACCATGAGGACCAACCTTCACCCCTGATCACCACCACACACCATGAGGACCAACCTTCACCCCTGACCAACACCACACCATGAGTGACCAACCTTCACCGACCACCACCACACCATGAGGACCAACCTCTCACCCCTGACCACCACCACACCATGAGTGACCAACCTTTCATCCCCTGACCACCCACCACACCATGAGGGACCAACCTTCACCCCTGACCACCACCACACCATGAGTGACCAACCTTCACCCCCACCACCACCACACCATGAGGACCAACCTTCACCCCCTGACCACCACCACACCAAGGAGGACCAACCTTCACCCCTGACCACCACCACACCATGAGTGACCAACCTTCACCCCCTGACCACCACCACACCATGAGTGACCAACCTTCACCCCCTGACCACCACCACACCATGAGTGACCAACCTTCACCCCTGACCACCACCACACCATGAGTGACCAACCTTCACCCCTGACCACCACCACACACCATGAGTGACCAACTCACCCCCTGACCACCACCACACACACCATGAGTGACCAACCTTCACCCCTGACCACCACCACACCATGAGTACCAACCTTCACCCCCTGACCACCACCACACCATGAGTGACCAACCTTCACCCCTGACCACCACCACCCATGGTGACCAACCTTCACCCCCTGACCACCACCACACCATGAGTGACCAACCTTCACCCCTGACCACTTCCACACCATGAGGACCAACCTTCACCCCTGACCACCACCACACCATGAGTGACCAACCTTCACCCCTGACCACCACCACACCATGAGTGACCAACCCACCCCCTGACCACCACCACACCATGAGTGACCAACCTTCACCACCACACACCATGAGTGACCAACCTTCACCACCACACCATGAGTGACCAACCTTCACCACCACACCATGAGTGACCAACCTTCACCACCACACCATGAGTGACCAACCTTCACCCCTGACCACCACCACACCATGAGTGACCAACCTTCACCACCACACCATAAGTGACCAACCTTCACCCCTGATCACCACCACACCATGAGGACCAACCTCACCCCTGATCACCACCACACCATGAGTGACCAACCTTCACCCCTGACCACCACCACACCATGAGTGACCAACCTTCACCCCTGACCACCACCACACCATGAGTGACCAACCTTCACCCCTGACCACCACCACACCATGAGTGACCAACCTTCACCCCTGACCACCACACCATGAGTGACCAACCTTCACCCCTGACCACCACCACACCATGAGTGACCAACCTCACCCCTGACCACCACCACACCATGAGTGACCAACCTTCACCCCTGACCACCACCACACCATGAGGACCAGCCTTTATCACCTGACCACCACCACACCATGAGTGACCAACCTTCACCCCTGACCACCACCACACCATGAGTGACCAGCCTTCATCACCTGACCACCACCACACCATGAGTGACCAACCTTCATCCCCTGACCACCACCACACCATGAGTGACCAACCTTCACCTGACCACCAGCACACCATGAGGACCAACCCACCCCTGACCACCACCACCACACCATGAGTGACCAGCCTTCATCACCTGACCACCACCACACCATGGTGACCAACCACCCCCTGACCACCACCACACCATGAGTAACCAACCTTCACTGACCACCACCACACCATGAGTGACCAGCCTTCACCCCCCTGACCACCACCACACCATGAGTGACCAGCCTTCACCCCCCTGACCACCACCACACCATGAGTGACCAACCTTCACCCCCCAGATCACCACCACACCATGAGTAACCAACCTTCACCCCCCCTGACCACCACCACACCATGAGTGACCAGCCTTCTCTCATGGTGTGCTAGTGAAGCCATAAACACACACACTTCACTATACACACATACAGTATTTCTAATATGCGTCGTCAACACAGATAAACACCCACTGGAAGACATACAAGTGTTCATACATACACACATATGATACAATTACTTCGGTACTCAAGTTCACCCACAAAAGTCCTGTCACATCACCTAGCTGCTGTTCCACGAACCGTGAATCGGAAGTAGTCAACGCTGTAGCATTATTCTGTCTATAAATACTTCTTGTTCACGAGTCTGTGTTCGTGATTCAGGAGAGGCGACTAAACTCAAGTTAGTTCGTGCATCTTGAGTTAATTGTGTAAATCCTATAGGTGAATACTTTGAATATGTTCGCGTCTATAAGGAAAATAAGATGCTAATTTTTCAGATATCTTTGTGACCTTTAACTGGATACATTGGTTAAGAATTTATGAATCACATATACATTAACGTGAGTAAATACACCAGTGTATGTTTTAATCCCCAGCACAACATTTTTTTCTAAGCCTCAGGATTAATTTGTATTGTTGAAGTGATCCGTCAGC